CTGTCTTGGTGAAGCCGCGGCATTCCCCCGGCGGAGCTGGAGGAAGTGTCTGTAGAAAGGGAGGTCTGGGCATCTTTGCTTATGTCATGTCAGCTTGGTGCGTCTCTGCCCTGAATACTTACCATTACCTATGTAAGAACAACGCATTGTCTCTCTTACAATTATCATAAATGTGCAGTCGACATTAGACAGTATTTATTTTCATGGGATTTACTTTGTGTTTAAAATATCAGCTGTGCAAATTACCTTAAAGCTTTGTGATAACAAAAACTGCATGTAACAGGGACAAACGCACAATCTTGCAATCAGCAGTTTAAAATTTTAATTAAAAAGAGTGCCTGCTGTGCACTGCAGCCTCTCTGCTGGACACACACCTGCACTGCTTTTCAGGAGCTTTTTGGTCTCAGCATCAATGTTTAATATATTAAATGACAAACTATTAAAAGCTTTTTTTTTTTTTTGCTTGAGATTACCAATAGTTCCCTTTCTCTGTATTTCTTCCCATCTTGTGTCTCTCAGGCGACCAGGTAGAGACAGCAGGGAGACTGAAGACATCGCATTGCTGCGAGTTTTTTTTGTTTTCTGCTTGTTCAACATGTTTGATAAAGTGCTTGTGCTCTCTCCATTACTGGCGGGGTTTTGTTTCATCGTTGTCTCTTTCACATACTGTCTCATCATCTTGTCTGCAGTGTGTGTGCACTCATAGACACACTGTGTGTGTGTGTGTGCACCTGTGAGCGCCTGTTCCTCCCTGTCTCAGACACAGAGCAGGGAAGCAGAGCTCGCAGTCTGCTTTTTGTCATCGACACTTATTTTACTATATAGCTAAACCCACTAAAATTTCTCCTCCACTGTCTCAAGTCAAGGTTTTTATTTACCATTTATGCATAAACAGACAGTCTAGGCATATAAGAATTCTTGTGCAGCTCTCCTTTGGACTCAGGTAAGGAGTCAGAAGCCAGAAGGAACACTTGGTCTTAAAATAAAAAAGTTACATAAAGGCGACAAAGCCTATCGACCTTAGTGACTTTTAACAAGTACAAGCAGGCTTTACTAGAGGGTGGCTTCGGACCCGATACCCAAGTACTGGTATCAGGACATCCCCAGTTTAATAGGCACAGTCCAAAGCTTTATATCTTTATGTCTTTGTCCAAATCAAAACAAATATGCATTGAACTCAAATGACTCTAATTAGATTTTCCACGGTCTGACAGTGTTTAATTTGCATGGTGTTAATTTCATGCATTAAGTAATTTGTAATCACTGGTGTCTAATCTGTGTGAACAAGTTGGTTATTTTTCTGTAGTATACAATACTTAACAGTGCAGTAGTGGCTGTAAATATTTCACAGCCTGTTTTCCTGGTGAGACGGTGAGAGGTGTGTTTTTGTTTTTAACCTCACTGTCACAGTCATTTTTTATTATTTATTTACCAACTATTTTGTGTGTTGTTCCAGTACTTCACACAATATAAAGACATCTGCTAGAAAATGTTTGAATAATTGCAAAGTTCTGTTTGGCAAATAAAAATTTATTGTTTATAGGAATATTAGAAACATTAGTGGTGACCTAACCACTCCTGTGATATAGAATTATATTGGATGTCATTGGCTCATGGGTCAGAATCATTAGTGGATGATTTGAGGTCATAAGTGTGTTTTAATATCAGCTCGTTCACATTTTGAAATTTATACAGCTAAGTAGGTTTAGGTGAATTTGTTCATGTCTCCCTTCTCCTCTACCTCCTCATCCAACAGTGTGGTTTCTATTTCTCTTCAAATCCCAGTTGTTTTCTTCATGCTCACTGTGTCACTTATATTTCAGAGTGATCCAGACAAATCCCTGAACACTTTAGTCAAATCCCTCCTTAAACTATACCCTGCTCACACATTTGCTTCACTTGGATGCATGTCACATCATGTAAGGTAAACATGCTCTACCATCCATTTCATCTTAGGGAAAACAGTGTTTTAGTATAAAAAGCAGGTGATTGTGCCAGAAATATTCACTTCGGTCACTGGGTCACAACCTTCACAGACCCACTGTATGCCAGGAAACACCCTGCTTTTTCATTCAGCTCTGGTTTTCTCAACCAGTCTGAGGATTCAAAGTGGCAGCCTGGTCTTAAAGTGTGCTCAAATTTCAGAACAGCATTTCTTTTGCTGGTTGACTCAGTGATTGGCCAGTGGTTGTTCTTTGTCTTGGTGATCAGGAAGTGGTAACTGGAGAAATTAGAAGAAAGTGAGGATACTGTATTAACACCATATAAGACCACCTTAGCCAGCCATGAGGGAACAGGAGAGTTTCCAGCCTCTGACTCTGTGAGAAGCTGCTGAGTACTCACCAGAAACCCTCCTCTTCCAGAGACCCTGGTGCCATGCCTGTGGAGAAGAAGAAGGGGAAGAGGAGAAACCAGGTGCTGGCTGTACAGGAGGGGCTGGAGAGTGACGACACTACCTCATTGTCAGCCCTCAACATGGGTGGCGAGGACAGTCAAGACCCCTTGGATAGCGCGGTGAGTGGGCAGTAGACTGGACAGACCCTGTGCACAGAGGTTGAGATAGGCTGACTGGGGTGGGTCTGCACAATTTATCAATGTGATTGCAAAAGCCACAGGTAGGTTTTTGTGGAATCATATCATGAGGGTCAGACTGCCATGGTAAATGTGCCTTACTTGTATAGCACCTTTCTACCTTACCTGGACACAGCACTTTACAGATTCACCCAAACACACACACACACACACACACACACACACACACACACACACACACACGTCCTTGGCGGTGGAGCTTCTATGCAAGGCACTGGGCTAGCCACCGGGAGCAGCTTGGGGTTCAGTGTCTTGCCCAAGAACACTTCAGCATGTGGACTGAGAAGAATGGGAATCGAACTGCTGACCGCTGTCATCAGAGGACGACCTGCTCTACCCCTCAGCCACAGCCGCCCCATAGGAATATTGCTTTTAGGTGTAATGGCTACAGTGAGCTGCCTTGGCCGAGGTTTGTGCTCTCTGGGTGTTGGTCCTTCTCTGTTACATAAACTCCTCAACTCTCTCGTCTTTCCTCCCTGTTCATTTTTTCCCCCTCCTCCTCTTTAGAAGCGGCGTTCAGGACGACAGGTCAAGAGGAGGAAGTACAACGAGGATTTGGACTTTAAGGTGGTAGATGATGATGGAGAGACTATTGCAGTTCTTGGAGCCGGTCGCATCTCAGCGCTGAACGCCACTGCTCTGGCCTGGCAGGCTGAGGTAAGGAAGGACGCACAACCGGGAAGCAATAATTCTAGTCTGCACTTGTTTTAATATGTGCCTGTGCACATGTGCTTGCAGTGGGTACCCTGTAGTTTGTGTCTGTGCTGGCGTGTGTGCTCAAGTGCCTAGAGTGGTGTTCACAAACAGTGAACGCTGCCTGCCGATAGAAAACAGAACGATGGGGAAAAGCAGGCAAACTATGACCTGTTTGGCTTTTGATACAGTACCTCCTTTGTTGCCATCTTAGTTGTAAAATACATTATAAATATAGTTATTTAATAACACTATCCACATATTGAAGAGTCTGTTCCCCGCTGCAGGCATGTTGGAAATGAGGACGCTTTTTATTAATGAAACATTTGTTTCTGGTCTTCTCATCAAATCAGCGCTAAAACTTTGATTAGAGCATCTGAAGTGACTTTCACACTGTAACCATGCCATTTCTCTGACAGCAGAAAATCTTTGTTCAGAGCAGATGTTAACTAAAGCAGTTTTATCCAAATAGTCGTGCTTCGTGTAGTACGTGCTGTTGAACTGTATTGTGTTACACTCACTGATATAAACAAGGTGGTCAAACTGTATCTAAAATGTCATTTACTATACATTTTAAATTCTGTGGTGTGCTCATGTAAGTGCTTTGCTTAGAAGCAAGTTTATTTTTTTTTTACATCGCTCCTTTGTGAACTGACCTTCTGTCTTTTGGGCTCTTCATCTTCAGGAACCACCTGAAGACGAGGCCAACATCATTGAGAAAATTCTCTCTGTCAGAACAGTGAAGAAAGAGGTGAAGAAGAAAGAGCATAGTCATACATTCAGTGTCATCAGTGGAGTATTTTTTAACTTAATGATGTTGGTTCTTTTATCATTTTTTCCCACTTAATCTCTCTCTTTCTCTGTCTCCCTCCCTAGACTTCATCATCAGAGGACCAAGCAGAGGAGGCAGAGGAGTTCTACGTCAAGTACAGAAATTTGTGAGTGTTCCTTCACCATTGCTTATTACCAGGCTCAAACGACGACACCTCCGCAGGCTTTCCACAGAAAGAAACTGTGTTTGCCCCCACCTGCATGTCCGAAACAGATGAGTGAATGCTTTTTGTCATTTTCCAAGCCAAGGATCTGACATTCCAACCTACTTCACACCTTGACTGGCTGGTTGCACATCTCTGTCCCACGCTGCTTTTTCATTCCTTAGACAAAAATCTGTGGCACTTCTCTCGTCACCTTCTAGAGCCGTTCCCCTCAGTTAGCTGTGTGAACAACCCAGGTTAATGTCTGTCAACAAAGATATTGTCTCCTGATGACACTGTCTGAACACGAGCACCGTTATTCCCCCCCCTCTTTCCTTAACTCGTAGTCGGTCATTAGCCTACGTCTAAAGAAATTGGAGTTTGTATTTCAGTGGCCATGTGACCTTAATTTTATTCTGGTGGAATTTCCAACAAATGCTGACACACTGAGTGTCTTGAAATGTTGATAAAATAAAAGATTCTCAAATTTAAAAGTTGATGTAAAGTGACTTCTTTCACCCTGCTCAAGAGCATTTTTAAGTTGCTTTTGTGCTTATTTTAATAATAATCGTTAGCTAAATGAATATTTTCTTTTACATTACAAGCCAAAAAAAATTCACTGAATTCACTCCTCATTAGTGGCAGAATTGTTCTTTCTCAGGATTTGCTGTGCACAGTAGATGAAGAGATGAATCGAGGGGAGTGTTGCTGGCAAACCAGCGGCATAATGCAAAAACTTTGGCTTCTGATATTACTGAGTTGTGCATGTGCTTTGACCAGACCAGGGCTGTTTTATCATACAGCATTAGCTTTAACTCCAGCATCTTTGATCCAGGCTAAAATACCTCAACAATTATTGGAGGGATTGTCATCAGATGTTGTACAGACACTCATGGCCCCCAGCGACTCTTTCTATTACCTTTATCGATTCCCAGATTTTTCCAGGTTGACGTTTGTGGTCCAGAGTGAAATGTTATGACCGCTGTTTGAGAGATTTCTGTGTGGACCTTCCTACTCTTCATAAACTTTGTAGACCTCCTTTTCAGTTATTGTCATCAAAAGGTTCAAATTATTTAAGGCTCAGTTATTTAACAGTTGAGTTTTCTTTATAATGAGAACTACCGTTGTATCATCTGCATGACTTTATAACTTAAAATGACCTTTTTGTGCACGTTGTAACAACTCGCCTCGGGCGGTTTTTACTCATCATGCTGTTTGAACTGAGCTACTTATAATAAGTCACCTCTGCAAACATGCACTTTAACATTTAGTGCATTTACTGAGAAAAGGTGTAAATGCAAAGGTTGATCTCGTAATTTTAATAACCGAAACTAAATCGCTTAAATAATCAGAAAATCAATATTTTTTTCCAGCCCTACTCAGAAGCTGCATGATTAGAGATTAAACAAAGTCCTGGGTATCACGATGTCGACGCGTTACGTCGCTCTCATGACTGATGAAAATGTTTATGGGCTGTTTTTGAGCAGTGGTCTGTTAAGTCGGTAAGTGCTTCTCCGCTGTAGCTGCTGAGGGAGAGCGGGGTGAGGGTGTAGGGATTGGAGTGCTGGGGGGTGGGGGTGTGTGTGTCATGTCTCTAGAGACTGCCCTGTTTGTTACCGCACTTTGTATCTTTAAGAAAGGTCCTACACACTTATACTGTCTTTATTATGATGATAATTTATTGCCGGGGTGATGAATAAAACATTTGCTTGAGTTGGAAAAAGAAAACAGAATAGATGTGAACACTTTTCAATGGATTGATTTAAAATTATAAAGTTACAGAAAAGTACATTTGTATTTTTATAATATTAGTTGTGTTAAAATCATTACTATACATAACGTATTATCAAATGCATGAGTAAATAGCTGCATAGACGGTTTAATGTTCTGAGTGATGGTTCCTGCTTGTTTTAAAACGGCCTTCTGTCCCAAACCTCTGGCTGAAATTCCATCTGGCCTGTGTGATTGATCCCTTCATTAGTTTAGCTTTTGTATAATCAGTTCATTGTGTTTTTATAATAGTGGAATTGTATAACTATGTTTTAAGACGGTTGCTTTGTTAAAATATGTCTTAATGTTGATAATGAGCTCGCTTGGAGCTTTGAACATTTCATGTTAATCTTGGAAATCATTTGCGGTGCAGGAATGATGACACAGGACTCAGTTTATGTGCATGCCTTTTCTTGACCGTTTGCTTCCTACCTGCTCGGGGCCTTGTATTGAGTTGATTTTGGAGGGAGTTGTAAAGAGAGGGAAATCCTGGTGTGATTGGTCTTGATTTTTTTTATTGAGTTTGAGGATTTTGTAACATACTCTGCAAAATTAAAGCTGTGCTGATCTATCCATTGTGTTATTTCAGTTCCTACCTACACTGTAAATGGGCCACTCTGGAAGAGCTAGAGAAGGATCCCCGTATCCACCAGAAGATTAAACGCTTCAGGACTAAACAGGCCCAGACAAAGCACCTGTTCACAGAGGTAACCGTCCCAGTGTCTTTGTAAACTGCTCCCTGTCTGGGCAGAAGGACAAATTCAGATTTTATTATCTACCAAAGACATTTTCCCTACCCCTAAGTGATGTGGAAACTGTAAATGTGATCACTTCATGCCTGGATTTGAATGAATGAACAGGCCACACTCCCTGATAATTCACAAGACATTTATTCAGTGTTGCTATAAAGGTCAGCAGGTGAACTCTAGCATTAAGCATTGTCACACAGAAGGATAGTGTGTCCTTTGCTGCGTAACGTCAACATTATTAGACTGTTACTGACCATTATGGAAGGTTTTCAGAACAGTGGTTCTAATGTGGAGATATACAGTATAAAATCAGTTTTTTAATATAGATTAAAATCACCTGTCATGTTTCAGACAACAATCTGTTGATCCTAAGACACCGTCTGTCCTTAAACCCTCGATGTGGCTCATAGAAAGTGGGAGAGGTAGAGTCCCCTCGCTTAGGATGAACAGACATGCATTAAGTGTAGGAAGAAGGAGTGACAGCAGAGCTAAGCTATGGAAACACAATTGCACTATATATATATGCACATTTTAAATGATGTTATTAAGGAAAAAACAAGAGGAATGTACTTTAACATGTTTTTTGAAAAGGTTTAGCCCACAGAGTAGTGCCGCCTGTGGAACACTGGATCCATGTTGTAGTTCTTTTTCTTATCAGTTCATATTTCCAAAACCAAATCAGAAGATTTGCAAACTTTGCAGCCCAGTCAGAATTTATAGGAGAACACTCAGCTAGCGCGTTGTGCTGTGTGAGGTAACGTAGCATCTTCCATACGTGGCTGTTTCTGTTACTTTCATCAACCTAATATGGTGAAGCACCGATTTAACGAGACCTGAACCAAAACCAATGCATCTAGTGCTTTTGGAAGCCTTTAAATTAAGCTTTCTGAATCTCCAGAAACCCAGTTATTTTACAGTTTTTACAGACTGTTGCTTTAGCGGTGTGATCGCTAACCTAACTAATAATCAGTAATCTCTTCTCTCCCTTTTTTCCTGTCTTCATACGTTCTTCTAGCCTGACGAGGACTTGTTCAACCCAGACTACGTAGAGGTGGACAGAGTGCTGGAGGTGGCTGTTACCACCGACACCGAGACTGGAGAGGTAGGTAGCACAGACGCACTCTGACACAGCGGCGGTCTGGTATGTAAGTGGTTATTACTGAAGCGTGCTGGTGTTCTCTGTGTGTTGCTGTAGGAGGTGACCCACTACCTTGTGAAGTGGTGCAGTCTCTCGTACGAGGAGGCGACGTGGGAGCTGCAGGAGGACTTGGACCCAGAGAAGATTAAAGAGTTTGAGGAGATCCAGAAACTGCCAGCAGACCTTAGACACATGGTGAGTAGAAATGTAATAGTACACAAGCCTGTCTGGTTTAACGCAGTACTCTGTCCCAGAGGAGACAAATGTAGCTCAAGTCAAAGTGCAAAGGTGCCTTTTCATCAAGAGACATTTTGTAACCTTTGTCTTTGAAAGTGCTACATAAATAAAGGTGTGATTTTTATTATAACATTAGACATTTTTACTGTGCAAAGAGAAGGAAGCAAAAAGAAAATCTGGTTCTCTGAAGTGGCAGAGCCTTGCTGCAGGGGAAAGATCCTCTTGTTTGACTCAGGAGCGGTGATGTGCTGTTACATTTGTCCTGCGGACTGAAGAAACCTGCTGATTGATGATCTCTGTGAGCTGACTTGTGTAGTTGTGTCCACTATTGTTGCCTGTTTTGTGGCAGACCTTTTTGAGTTGCTGCAAAGGTACTGAGACGTGGAAGGCAATTCAGACGTCTGGAACCAGACTCTCTATGATAAACAGTGACAAAAACATGTACATTTTTAGCACAGGTTGGTGGGCAGATGAGGAAACTGTGCAACAACACAACACCATTATGGCTCCAGATGTGCTCTCAGACCTTCCCTGCAGAACAGCCTTTCTGCCCACATCATTACAACCATTCTCCCTCGCTTTCACCATCTAGGTCTTGTTTTCTTTCCCGGTGCTAATGAGCGCGAACACAGTCATTGCTGTGAGGTTTTCTTTATTCTCGAGCTGCAGTTGTGCACCATCAGGTTTTCTGTTTGTTCTTAGAGAGGATGTCGAGGTGTTCAAAACTGTCACATCCATGTACTGTAAAACATCTTGTGTTCCTTGACCCACAAACATCTCCACATTTGTGCTTCAGTGTTTAGTGTGGGTGTCACTACGGAGCCCAGGCACGAAACCACAGGTGAGGCCATTTAATGTGAGCAGGACAGATCTGTTAGGTTTGACAGCTGTGTATTATGTGCGAGTCATCGGTTTTGTGACCAATCGGTACATTTACTCTGCTGGATGTTGAATCCCAAATTGCTGTTTAAATAGTAGCAATTTTCTGGAGTCTGTCATCACCCCTGAGAGCTACAGGAGCCATTATTCATTTCAAAACTAGTATTATCATTATCATTTATTATGCTCTGGCAGGAACAACCTCTGGCATTACTCATTTTATTATTTTGTTCATTCAGCCTCCAGAGTCAGAGCCTGAGTCCTTCTCTTACATGTAAAAACTGTGACAACTCATTTACCTCCTTTCTGATTTATCAGATAGTTTTAATAGCTGATACTCTTCTAGTTCTTTTGTTGGATCAAATCCAGGTAGTATAGATGATCCAGTTCAGATAAAGAAACCTCCACGTCCACTGACGGATAATTCATAGTTTTGAATAATCCAAATTTAATCAGCAAGTCATCAAACCTTTTGTTAATGAAGCGTGTGTGTTGTGTGTGTGTGTGTGTGTGTGTGTGTTCATGGTACAGGAGCGTCCTCTTCCAGAAAAATGGCAGAAGCTGGAGTGCTCCAGAGATTACCGGAATGGAAACCAGCTCAGAGAATACCAGTTAGAGGGAATGAACTGGTTACTGTTCAACTGGTACAACAGGTGAATATACAGTCAAAGATGTTTGATGCTAGTGTAATAAAGAAAACACATGTATGCATTCGTGACTAAAGTCATGATAAACCAAACTGAAATGGAAATTTGAGGTTGCACACTGGGAACTAAACCTGACATAAACAATGACTATAACCTAACATTAAGTTAAAATACAGCCACAAACATTGTGAGTAATACTACTAAACTATTTGTAAACCTCAAGAACTATAATTACCCTGAGGCACTGGAGCTAAAGGTTGAAGGTGGACAAATAGATATGACTCACGCAGCAGTTGACATTTCCCAAGTATTGAGAAAGACATCAAACACAAACACAAACACACACCGTGTTTATGACTTAAATCTATAAAGGTGAGTTTGTTCCACAGATCCAAAAGCCAGCTAATCCAGACTAAAGTCAGCCCTGCTTCTGAACTGAAACAAGCCCCTGCCATGTAGGAGTGAGGTGCAGAGCAACCCTCTCACATGGAGGGTTTTCCTTTGTCTTTAAAATACGAAAACACAAGAACACACAAAACCTGCTTCTGCTGTATGCGCAGCATTGTCACTATGCTACAGTGTCCAGGACGTGACTAAAGATTGGTTTGGTTGACTTGATTTTCACTAAGGTCATAAACAACAGTCTGAAAGTAGGACCAGTAAGAGACAGACTTCACATGCATCAAAACACTTGTCATATTTAAAGATGGAGCTGATTATAGTTTTAATAGCAAATGACCTAACTGAGCATTTTAAATAATAGGTTTTGTTATGATTTAGTTCCCCTCGCCCTTCTTAAGTGCATCTTTAACAACAGCACTCGCATGCCCGTATGTACACTGACAGAGCTCTAGGCTGCTGTTTTACCTGAGATCCCTCACTAAAGTGCTTCTTATGGGGACAAAGGTTTGCGTCCTGTTTGAAGGTATTGGCTGATGAAGGTTAAGCCAATGCTAATATGAGACCACAGCAACCAGTTTGTGCTCCAGTGGGCAGTGTTTGCTGGCTGAACCACAGCAGAGGGAGCTTTGGCCTGACGATTGTACCTTTGGAACAGACCCACATCACATGTCAAACTCATGATGCTGAGGCCACGTGCACGATAAGCTGCAGCTGAACCTGAGAAATATGTCGTACACAGAACAATGAGTGTGAACTTTGTTCCCTGCCTTAAGAAGAGATCTCTATGGAGCTTTTTACTGCCATTAGTTATTCTGTGTTATTTATATTTGTGTTCTCTGTTATTCATTCTGATATATTTTATGATATATTATCATATCCTCTATGCTTGATCTAGTTTTTATCTATTATAATTGCATTTGATTGATTATAAAATGTACTCATTTTTATCTAATTTCCTTTTCCTGCCGTCTTATCTGTAAAACTCTGAACTGCACCGGCTTGTATGAAAAGTGCTATGTAAATAAAGTTTGATTTGATTATAGACTGCACAAACAGAGTACACAAAAACCCATTCACTATATAGTACAGTGTACAGTATATGTGAGTAAACCTGTTGTAGCTGTACTGTTTGGTCAACATGCTTTATTAAGGGAGCAGAAAACATACACTTCAGTTCATAAAAGACCAAAATCAAAGCACAATAACTGTAAAAATGTTAGAGTAGCTCATTAGATGAACCTTTATTAGTCTCCTCGTCCGTCACCTCATTCCTTTACTGTATATTTTCTGATTAGATTTGGACATGAATTAGTGTTTTAATGAGAAACAGTTTTTTTTTTTCTTAAAACTTGTCCAGTTTGTTGAAGATGCAGACTTCATGTAGATATCAGCAGTGTGTACACAAGTAGTGATGCATTCATTAGCTTCGTTATTGTACTAATTAGTACAAGTGGATGAACTTCCTGAACTTTAGAATTATGCAGACCTCGTGCTCTCTCACACAGAAAAAACTGCATCCTGGCCGATGAGATGGGTTTGGGGAAGACCATCCAGTCCATCACCTTCCTGTATGAGATCTTCAACATGGGGATCCGCGGTCCCTTCCTCATCATCGCCCCCCTCTCCACCATCACCAACTGGGAGAGGGAGTTTCGCACGTGGACGCACATGAACGTCATCGTGTATCACGGCTCCCAGATCAGCCGGCAGATGATCCTGCAGTACGAGATGTTTCACAGAGACCCACAGGTAGTGTTTGAGTTTTCACCAGGCTGTGCGTCGTGGTGAATGGCTCCTCTCCATCACCAGCGAATGAGTCACGTGTGACGGTTTCTGAGTGGGTGTGTGGTCTTTTATTTTCGTTCGGGTGACAACCACATATCCTGATAAGGATACAACGTGCTGACAGTTATCTGCTGTTACTTCTTTAAAAGAAATGTGCCCCTCATGTCTGGTTGTGCTGGTGTGGTTCTCAGGGTAATTGTGTGCTGTGTCCCATTTAAGATCATGTCTGCTTGGAAAAACTAAAGTGTGATTTAGCTGAATATTTTTCTTTCTGTCCTTACATCTCATTCCTCCGTGCCAGGAGACTTTTCCAATGTGTTCCACACTGGATGTGACAGACATCCATAGCACATTTGTCATCTCTCTCTCTGTTTCACAGTTGAACTCACTTGCACTCTCGCTGCCTTGTCTTTGACTATGATCAGCATCTTTAACATTTGGTGACACATTTCAGACATATACTTATTCAGAGTGACCCATCTGCAGCTTTACAAGTTTTGAATTCAGCTTTCTGCAGCTATCAAAGGGCAGTTAGAAGTCATTTCTGTCCTGCCTGATAAAGTCAGCTGCTCAGCACTTTAAGAGTTTTGGGGGCATTTTGTGCTTCTGTTAGAAGTGAAGGGAGACAGGAGAGACAGGAACAGAGAGGGGGTGACGTGGTGAATGTCCTCGACATGATTCAGACACAGGGTGTCACAGATGCATGGTATCCATCCTTGACCCCCGCCCTGACACAACAATTTAAATGTTCCATTGTCAACCACAGGGTAACACTATCCCAGGCGTGCTGAAGTTTCACGGGTTGATCACCACCTTCGAGATGATTATGGCCGACTGCCCGGAGCTGAAGAAGCTGCACTGGCGTTGTGTGGTGATCGACGAAGCCCACCGGCTGAAGAACAGGAACTGTAAACTGCTGGAGGGACTCAAACTCATGAACCTGGTCAGTCTGTCTGGGCATGATGGACAAAGTTGTACAGTGTCTTTATATTTCACATAGCAGCTGTAGGAATTAGTTTAATTTTGACAAATACAATTTTAAGCAATGTCCTGGTTATCGTACTGCGCTGTCCGCCCTTTAATGGTGAGATGAAAAATACTTTTTTGTTCGTGGGAAGTGCAACGCAGCATGCTTAGCCTTACTTACCCTCTTATGCATGCCGTTGTACACAACTTTATTGGTATGTGTCTCTTCTAATCCATTCGTCTCTGTTTGAATACAAGTCATTACAAGCAGCCGGCTCCCTGTGATGTTCTGTCTGTGTTTGTAACAGGAACACAAGGTTCTGCTAACAGGAACCCCTCTGCAGAACTCCGTGGAGGAGTTATTCAGTCTGCTGAACTTCTTGGAACCGCAGCAGTTTCCCTCAGAACGCAGCTTTCTGGAAGAGTTTGGAGACCTCAAGACAGATGAACAGGTAGGTTCACATACCTGATAGTTAGTGTCCTCAGGTTAATATTACAGTGTTGTAGAACTAAACCAGGCCAAACTATCGGTGTGGGGTGGCTTTTGCTTAGCCCCAGTTTGTGCCTCTCATGTAACTGAATATACTCAGGTCACAGAGGTAACCATCAGTTTCTCTGAAAGATGGTTAGCAAGTGATATTTGTATCTGGATAATGAAGGAAATATTGTGTCCACTGGACGACAAAAAGATTTTCAACCCAAGTGGATCTGTTTCCTATCCAGGTACGATAGGTAACCATCTTTGCCGTGATTCGAAAATAGAGGCTAAACTTCTGAAATGAGTTGTTAAAAATCTTTATTCAGTGGACTAAAGATTTTTTCTTTTTTATCCAGATTGTTAGAGATGTCTTTGGGGGTTCTGGTAATATCCCAGAACAGCTGCAGGTGTTTCCAGCAGCCTTCAGAGCTTTTCAAACGTTGCTGGTTAATTACCTTTTAGAAAATCTGACGGTTACCTCTGTGACTTCAATGTATTGTTATACATGAGAGGCACAATTTGCTGTGAAAAGCAGCTTCAGGATGAGGCGGGGTTTCTTTTAAATCTATGCTAACATCGCTGTTATCCTCCCGGTACCATTGTTTTTCCAGCAGCTATGTGCACCTGTGTTTTGTCATTTGGGGTCAGCTGAAGAAAAAAAAAATCCATTTGTGTTCACATTTCAGCCCTTGTTCTTTCCAACAGGTGAAGAAGCTTCAGGCCATTTTGAAGCCCATGATGTTGAGGAGACTCAAAGACGACGTAGAAAAAAACCTGGCACCAAAAGAAGAGACCATCATAGAGGTTTGCTTTGTTATAAATTTCACGTCATTGCTCATTTGTGGCATTTGTTATATTTGTACAGTTTCTGTGTGTAAATGGCACTAAGCATTTTCAGTGCTGGAAAAACCTTTTCATCCCACTTCCTTCTGTTTAAGATGAATAATTCAGCCAAAACATCATGACTGAATCTCCACTTTGTATTAGTCTTTAGTCTTTATTAGTCTCTTTAATCACAACTAAATTAAATTAAATTGTAAATTAGTTAAGATGAAGTAAAAAACGTCTGCATATGAGCAAGAAAATCCTGGGTTCTAACCCACCACAGTTGGCTGGAGCCTGTGCGCGTGTGCAGGTTGCATGTGCTTCACGTTTTTGTCTTTTTTCCTCTGGGTGATCCAGTTTCCTCCCTTGGTGCAAACAGGTCCAGGTTAGGTGAATTGAAAACTCTGAAACTGCCTGTAGGTGTGAATCTGAATGTGGTTGCCTGTTTATATGTATGTCAGGTTAAGTGTTAAGTACAAATAGTGTTGTACTTAAATGATAAATACAGCAGATGGATGGGTGTGATTTATTGATGAATGGACTGATTGTACTGGTTACATTACTGGGCAGTAGGTGGAGAAAACATAAAACAAAGCAGTGTAACACCAGCATGTACACACTAAAGCGTTTGTGTTCCTGTAGGTGGAGCTGACCAACATTCAGAAGAAATACTACCGAGCCATCTTAGAGAAGAACTTCTCCTTTCTGTCCAAAGGAGCGAACCAACACAACATGCCCAACCTCATTAACACCATGATGGAGCTCCGCAAGTGCTGCAACCACCCCTACCTTATCACAGGTGAGACCACGCACACACGTGTCAGACCTTCAGTAAAACAAGGACATCATTATGCAACCCATAATTTATACACTCACAAATATTTTAGTTTACTGAGGAGCTAGAAACTCTTCCACATCCTGTTCCTTTTAATTCTTTTTTCCAGGAGCGGAGGAGAAGATTCTTGAAAGCTTCAAGAAGAGCCACAGTCCGGACGCGCCGGACTTCCAGCTGCAGGCCATGATCCAGGCAGCCGGTAAACTGGTGCTGATCGACAAGCTGCTGCCCAAACTGCTGGCCGGGGGACACAAAGTCCTGGTCTTCTCCCAGATGGTCCGCTGTCTGGACATCCTGGAGGACTACCTCATCCAGAGACGGTGAGGAGAAAGGGAGGAGAGGAAGGAGGGGAAATGTTAAATAATGGAAGATCAGCAAAGCAAGGAAAAATAAAATGGGGAAAACACAAAATTAGGTACAAAAACTGAGGAAAGCACAGTGAAGATTTGGGAGTTATTAATGAAGAATGCAATCTAACAGTTAGCAGAAAGGGGAACTGGGGATGGAAAGATGCCCATATCACCTTTAGCATCCTAATTTGTTGAAGAAATCAACATGTTTATGTTTGTGTGTTTTCTCCAGGTACACATATGAACGCATTGATGGCCGTGTGCGAGGAAACCTGCGACAGGCAGCCATTGACAGGTTCTGCAAGCCAGACTCGGACCGCTTCGTTTTCCTGCTGTGCACAAGAGCTGGAGGCCTGGGAATCAATCTGACAGCTGCTGACACCTGCATCATCTTTGACTCAGACTGGAACCCCCAGAACGACCTGCAGGTGGGCAAGAGAGCTGGGTCATGAGTTTGCACATGCACGGTGCCCAAAGCTGAAGACGTGAGCAGATCACAAACAAATGTGTCCTCAGAACCTGACAAAGGAGAGATCATCTCTCTAAATCACACTTTTTTTTTAACTGTGCTAAGTTGCACCTTTATTTATATAGCACATTTCAAACAACAGTCAAAGAAAACAACATTAGAAACAATGATCATTAAAAGCCAGCCATTAAAATCATCTAAGGAAAAATAAAGCTGAAACATGGTTAAAATGAAATAAATAAAATGTAAGACGAATATAAAAAAGATCAGAAACACAGTGCATATACAGCACATTACAGTTGTGGTGCAGTTATCTCATCAGTTTATGCATAAAACCATTATTTCCTCCAAAGTATCTGTAAATCCAAAATCAAGCACAGGTACGGTAAAATATGTTTTACACACTTGTCGTTTTTCATGTATCTGTCCAGGCCCAGGCTCGCTGCCACCGGATTGGCCAGAGCAAAGCAGTGAAGGTGTACCGACTGATCACCAGGAACTCGTACGAGAGGGAAATGTTTGACAAGGCCAGTCTGAAGCTCGGGTTGGACAAAGCCGTCCTCCAAGACATCAACCGCAAAGGAAACCTTAACGGGGTACCATATTACTTTATATCAGAGTACTAAGAGGTATTGTAAGTTTGTTAATTATGTAAGATTGGTATTTATTTAGATGTTTTCTCCAGGGAGATGGCCGGCTGGCACTCATGAAAAAGAGCATAAATTGTAACTTGTGTGTCTGTTTATTGCTACAGGTGCAGCAGCTTTCTAAGTTGGAGGTCGAAGATTTGTTAAAGAAAGGAGCGTACGGAGCACTGATGGACGAAGAAGACGAGGGTTCCAAGTTCTGCGAGGAGGACATCGATCAGATACTTCAGAGACGAACCCAGACCATTACTATCCAGTCTGAAGGGAAAGGGTCCACGTTCGCCAAGGTAGAAATCCATAAACATCAATGAAGGTCTAAAACCTGAGAAGCAAAGTTACACAGCCCTGATAATCGCTGTTTAGAGGGTTTTTGGAGGAAACATGGAATACTTTGATACTTTGATCCATTGTGAAGATGCTAAATATTTGTGCAGTTAGCAGCTTCAGTCCAAATGTTTGGTTGAATGCCCAAATCACTTGAAACTCATTTAATATCAACCAGAATCCCACCCTGTTTTTCTGAGTGGCCTCCTGTTTCTCTTTCCTCAGGCCAGTTTCATCTCGTCCGGTAACAGAACAGACATTTCTCTGGACGACCCCAACTTCTGGCAGAAATGGGCCAAAATTGCAGAAGTGGAGATTGACTCCAAATCTGAGAAGGTACAGAGGAGCAGATTGAACAATGACAGCAGGAGAGGATGAAAGCAACAAAAAGAAATGAAAGGCTTTTCAAAGAAAAGGGACAGAAAAGGAGAAGATGGCACAGAAAGGTTGGAAAATAAAGACGGAAAGGATCACAAAGAAAGAATAAAGGAAACAAAGTAAAGTGACAGATGTTGAAGGGAGTGATAAACAGGAAGAGGAATAAAATGAAAAAGAGATGAAACGACCACTGAGCAAGAGATGTGCTCCTATCTAGTAAAGGTAAGCAGGAAGCAGAGTACAGAAAGACAACTGTTAGGGTCAATGTAGAAAACAACCTGAGGCTTGGAGAGAAATTGGATCTGATCCAAAGTGGTGTATGCAAAACCTGGAGGAAGGGGATGTTAAGCTGAGCTCCCGATCTGGGAAGAGAGTAAATGAGGGCAGGGTGGAAATGAGGGTAAGAAAGGAGGATGCTCTTCCTTTTTCTCTCCTCTCCTTCCTAACAGATGGGATGCCTTAATGAATGAAGCAGATTGTGCACGGAGCAATGCTACTATCTTCATACCTTGTGTGTGTGGACCGTGACTCGTGCCTTGAATCCTTAATAACTCACACACCCTGGTTGGTGTTTTTCTCCTCAGGTGTCCCTTTTCCACAATAAAAGCAGAGGATAAAAACCGACAGATCTCTCCTCACCTGCTTCATCTTGCTTTTATACTTTTGTATCCAGACTACGTTCTTGTCTCTGACACAGGAGTCCTTGGTGATCGACACACCTCGGGTGAGGAAACAGACCCGTCACTACAACTCCTTTGAGGATGACGAGCTGATGGAGTTCTCGGAGCTGGACAGCGACTCGGAGGAGCGGCCGTGTCGAACTCGTCGCCTGGGCGACCGCAGCCGGCGGTACCTCCGCGCTGAGTGTTTCCGGGTTGAAAAGAACCTGCTCATTTTCGGGTACGAGCTGATGGGTCTCATGAATAATTCATATCTAAATGCACATTCACAACCCAGCTTCAGTTAAATTTGCATCAAAGAAGCTGAAATTCCTTTTCAAGTAAGACGTGGAACATTTCTAAAGCAGCAAAATGGACCCGAAGGGAAAGACTTGCTGGTACACACACACACACACATCTTGCAGCCAGAATCTTAAACCTCTGGGGATGACATCCTAACACTCAGTCCAATAAAAAGCTACTTGAGAGCTCATGCCTTTGTTTACAATGTTGGTCTCTGCAAACTCAAGTATGAATATAAATGAGCCACATATAAAAAATGTGACTTTTCACTGTGTTTTGAAGTGAAGAAAATAAATTCGACTTGTGATCACACACTTGTTTCAGCCAAAAAGCTGTATATACTTCACTCACCTAAATTTCTTTGTCTGGCTTTTGTGCTCCTTATCTACATTTTCCTCCTCCCTCTATTCTTTACTCCATCTTTTCAGCTGGGGTCGGTGGAAGGACATCCTAAACCACGGTCGCTTTAAGTGGCACCTAGCAGAGAGAGACATGGAGGTGATCTGTAGGTAAGGAAAGCAAGTCTTGGTTCATGTTTTTATCCTGCAGAAGTTCTAAAATGTCCAGATTCAGTTACAGCGAATGTAGCAGTAAACAGGCGCCAGGGTCACTGTACCTGCAGAAACAGCCGTCGTCTGGAAAAAACAACGTGTAAATCTTGAAAAGGAAAATTTGTTTTGTTATGTAGGGCTCTGCTTGTTTACTGCTTGAGACACTACAAAGGTGATGACAAGATCAAGAGCTTCATCTGGGATCTGATCACACCCACCAAGGAAGGCCAGGACCAGGCGCTGCTCAATCATTCTGGTTAGCACTTACACTGTAAAGTTAGCCTACAGCTCCATACACCACCACACGATTAACCACTCTAATTAACTCTCACCACCATCTGAAACAGTAGCAGCATTTTATAACAACCTCCATTGCGTGAACTGGAACTAATATTGCCATTTGGGTAGAGTTAGTTCACTTCCCCCTTTCTGTTTGTCCCAGGTTTGTCAGCTCCGGTTCCTCGGGGTCGGAAGGGGAAGAAGCTGAAGAATCAGCTGAACATCCCCGAGGTGAAGAACGCCGACTGGCTGGTCCACTGTAACCCTGAGGTGGTGCTGCAGGACGAGAGCTATAAGAAACACCTCAAGCAACACTGCAACAAGTCAGTTTCCTCCCACGTACTCGTTCCAGTTAACAGGGTTGAACAGAGGGTGATTTGTAGTGGTTGATACCTGCCTGTAAGCCAGAGGTGGTGTGTGTAGTCATTGCATGTATAGTCACTAGAGGACTTTCACACTGGAGCATGTTTGGAACTGTTTATTTATGTGAAATGTAGATTTTTAAGGCCAGGTGAGAGCAGTGACTTTTAACCTGTAGTCAGAAGGAGTCCTGTTTAAAACAGTGGCGCTATTGTCAGGGAAAACAAGAGTCACATAGTCACATACTATAAAGAGCAACTCAACTGACCTGCACTTCATTCAGAGGAAAGAATCGTTTGCTGTGGTGCCTCTGTGACGCAAGCTACACCTCCCTCTCTCCACAGGGTGCTACTGAGGGTGAGGATGTTGTACTACCTGAAGGTGGAGGTGTTGGGTGAGGCTGCCAACCAGGCTCTCGAGGGGATACCTGCCAGGTCTGGAGCATGTTCTTTATATTGTACCTGATGTTACCAGAGTGTTGGTTGATAAACAGTTCTATCTTGATGCAAAAATCTGGAAAGAGACTAACTTAATTCATTGATGCCTTTATCGCTCTCTGCTTGTTTACAGTAGCAGTATTATGAAATGTAGCGATGAAACTGGAAATGCTTCAACACACTGTCAAAATGCCATTTGTCAGATTTGTGATTGACTAACTGGGTGTTTCCTGCTTGTGTTTTCAGTGAGTTGAGGAGTCCTGACTTGACACTGACAGCAGCATTGACAGGTTGCTTGTTTGTTGTGTGTCTGTTTGTGCCGACAGTAAGCTTGAGGTGTCTCTACCAGACATCGACTACATTGAGATTCCAGCCACGTGGTGGGATGCAGAAGCTGACAAGTCTCTCCTCATAGGAGTCCACAAACACGGTGAGGCCTGCTGTCAGTTCGAGGTTTGCACATGGAAAGGTCATGTGAGCACATGATTTATCTGTTAATGGCTAACAACATGTCTTTTAAGGCTTGACTTGACCCAATGTTTCTGCCAATGTGTGAACAGTATTTAGATGCAGTGACACGTTGTTTGTGAACAGTCATTCCAGGTACAAATCTGGCATCAGTTTATACGTGTGTGGGTGTGATGTGCACCCAGATCTGTGTTGTTGTTGTGCTTAAACCCAGAAAGAGCAGTAGGCCATGATAGAACACTGTAGCAGGAGAGTGACCCACCAACATTGCAAGGGCAAACGAACACTGTAGCTGAATCCCAGTTCCCCTAATTGCATCTGCGTTTCCCTCACTTGCGTTTTGTTCCCGTCCACATAAGATGGAAGAAGAAACTGGGGAGAGAGGAACCAACAGACTTTCTTTCCTTTGATCCTTTATGTGAAGCATCCAATAACAAGCTGATTTCCAATAAAGGGGCGTGTTGATCTGTAAGCGACTTCTGTAAAGGATGCATTTGTGTATCCTCACTCATAGCTCCTCCAGGCAGCCTCCTCTCTCCTTCATCCTGGTCCTTTAACATGGACGAATTCCGGGTCAAGCAAAGACCGAGGAATGATAAAATAATGGAACTGGAATTCACCTCATGTGTCTGTGTGTGCATGCTATGTGTTTTAATCCTGATGTTTGTCCTTGGACAGGATATGAGCGGTACAACGCCATGCGTGCTGATCCAGACCTGTGTTTCCTGGAGAGAGTGGGGATGCCTGATGTCACAGCGCTGTCTGCTGAGCAGGGAGGAGGGGAAGGCGCCTCTGACATGGCTGACAGGTATGATACACACATAGGTAAGCACACAAGTACACGTTTAGTGAGGTAAAGGCATGTTTGGACATTACACAAGATCCCGACACTGACAAACCTGCACATCCTGTATAATGACAAACGTTCAACTCCAATCACTCCTTTAAACTGTGAAGGTTTTGTGTTGTTTATACTCATAAAACATAAATTTAAGTCTTTGAGAACCATTTGTCAGACATTATTCCTATTCCTAAATGCATGCGCTGCAGTGGGGCAGTATATTTTACCACCTTCCATACAAAAATAGATTGCTCAGGCCCTTTAACTCACTATTCCTCTCACTGTCTGTGCAATGTCCAGATATTTTCTAAGCTACATGGCTGTGTGTGGTAATAGAATTTATGTGTGGCAATATGATCAACCACCTTAATTAAGGTCTTAAATTGTATTGATTTAGACACAGAAACCCTCTTAAAGATCAGATAATAGAGTAGAGTCTACCCCCAGACCCTCACCAGGTCATATTCCACAGCAAATTCTCAATGAAATTAGCACAGCCAGTTCACAGACGGTGAATACCGAGCTTTCGTGGCCCTGGGCCAGTTGCTCACTTAGTCCACTTAGCAGTCCAGCCTTGTCAGTCGGACTTAACTCGTTTACAGACAGGTGCAGGAGCGGCACACATGCACAAATAGCTTTCCTGCAGATCTGGAGCAGGAGCCTGGTCCTCCCTCCACCAGTCATCGCTTTGTGTAGTAGCGTTCACAGCAGGTGCCAGCACTGGTGCGAAAAACACATCCTGTCTTCTGTGGTGTCATGTTTGTTTTTGTCGACACTGGCACCTCCACACCCACACAACTGGGTTACATACTGAGTTCGACAAAAAACATAGAAAAGGAAATATAAGTGCAGTGGGCGATATTAAGGGCCTCAAGTCGCTAACAGCCAGACCGTGTTTCAGTGATGTGACTGACACACAGACACACCCTCCCTCGCCTGTTGCTCTTCCTGAGGTTTCTTCAACATTTTCCCATTAAAGGTTTTTTTGATTTGTTGTTCCTGTTCCGATTCGAGGGTCTTGTATGCTCTACAGATTGTAAAGTCCCTAGAAGATGAAATGGAAATTTTGCTCTTCATCCTGAAGCTAATTGAAGTGATCATTCGCTTTGTTACTTGTTCAACCTGAAACATCAGCTCTATACGTTATCTCATGTTTTTGTATTTTGACATATTTGACGCACTGATGATGATGTATTTTGTTATTAGAGAGTTTTTGTGTGTGTTTGCTTCCTTTTGTTTAAAGGCTCTGGCTGGTGCCTCAGGAAATTTGATCTCTATGCTGCTTTTAATTCATCGTAGCTGTTGCGTGGTGTGTTCTCTGGTGTCGCCTGTTTTCTTTACATCTGATCACTTTCCGACAGGCTCTGTGCTGCATGTCTTTTTCTTGCTCTAGACATTGTTTTCCGTGCTCTGACATACTTTCTCTTTGGTCAAACTTTAAGGAAGCTCTGTTTGTCATGGACTGTGTGTTCATTCTTTTTGTTCTGTGCTCAATCCCGTTTAATTCTGTCTTTGTATTTTACCCTTGGTCGTACTCCCCGGGAGCTCACTAGGATTGTGTAACAGTTTGTAAGCTTTTCTGCTTTTGATCTGTTGTTTCTTTTGTCAGTGTGTGCAAAACTGAGGAGGCAAAGGACGACACTGAAAGCAAAGCTGATGGAGGGGAGGAGAGAGACGAGAGCAGCAAGGTGAAGACGCAGCATTAGTGTTTAAAGAGATTTCACTGTCTTTTATTTTCACTCCACAAATAACCTGAGGTGCAGTCGAATCCTTTTCATTTACCTCACTGTGGTCCTCAGAGGTACAAATTCTAGCTGTGCCTCTGGGAAGAAATGTCCTAATATTATACCCTTCTGAGTTGACAGGCTCCAGAGTCCTGGAAGATCAGCTTTGCAGCATTAATGATGCATTTAGTACATACAGTGGATATAAAAAGTCTACACACCCCCGTTAAAATGCTAGGTTTCTGTGATGTAAAAAAAACAAGACCAAGATAAATAATTCCAGAACTTTAGCCACCTTTAATGTGACCTATAACTTGTACAACTCAATTGAAAACAAACTGAAATCTGTTTTTTAGTGGGAAGTAAAAATAAAAAACTAAAATAATGTGGTTGCATTAGTGTGCACACCCTCTTACAGTTTGTTTTTCAATTGAGTTATAGGTCACATTAAAGGTGGCTAAAGTTCTGGAATTATTTATCTTGGTCTCGTTTTTTTTTACATCACAGAAACCTGGCATTTTAACGGGGGTGTGTAGACTTTTTATATCCACTGTAATACCAGAACAGATCAGATTTTAATGAGACTGTATACAGTCTGAATTTCATAACAGAAAAAATGTCATGTAACTGAATTAGTCTGTTTCTCCACTTATTAGATTTAATTCAACGCTGCTATAACAGGAAATTGCTGCTTTTAAATATTTGCACTCTTGAGATATTGAGTTAATTTTATATTGATTGTGATAACTTTTTTTTTGGTTAAACAGCTAAATGTAAAAGCTCAGAAATAATCCCAAACATGAATTTTACAAATGTAGTTCAAGACCAGCCTTTGTCATCATGTGAACGAAAACACAGAAAGTAGAACGTTAGAAGGAACCGCATGTCGCTGAAAGCATCGGACTGAATCATTGTACTACACAGTTCTCTGGTCCAGGACAGTTATTCTGAATGTTAGTTAAAGACCAATATGCTCCACTTTTAAATAGTCTGGTTTGCTTTATTGCATAACAATAGAACAAAGTCAGTGCCTGTTTACTTTATATGGGACTCTGGATACACTATTGCTGTTCTGTTCATTTGGATTTCTTCTCGCTGGTGTGTCTCCTCCGCAGGGAGAGGAAACCTGCTCCAGCACTGATACCTCCGACAAACCGGACAGTACAGGACCTGGTGAGAAACAATGCACTGTGCACACACCACTCTTAAATGTAGTGTCAAGAATCCAGCAGTATGGTATACATGTCTCTGCTCTGGGACAATGATCGTTGCAAATTACTCTGGTAAAAGGGAGCTCAGCAAGAACACACACATACGTCACACATACACAACTTGTTTGCTTCTATAGAGCTTGGCTATATAATGTCTTGATGGTTTGTAAAAGCATATTTTCTTTTTTGTTTTTGTAATGCGCCTGGCATCTTTTTAGATGATGATATAATTCCTCTGGATTACATCTCCTCAGTTCATTTGCTTTACCGAGTTGTTCCCTGCCTGTCTGTCTCATCTTTCTGCTGAAGGCTTCATTTTAACACTGCTCTGCAGAGTATGGGGCCGATCGGACGTGTGAAGCATTTCAGTTTTAATAATGCTCATTGTCTCAGTGAGTACATTGAATGAGCATCTGGTTGTTGAATGGCACAGTGAAGAATGAGAGAAACAGCCTGTTTGTTGGCCATCGCTCTGGTTTAATGAGGGAGCTTAGCAGATAATATTGTTATTGAAGCCTTTTATATTCAAAACATTCGGGTAGTTTAAGGCAGGATAACTGAGTCGTTTGCATTTTCAGTGATGGGAAAATTAAAACCTCAGGGTCCTCAGGTAGAAGAGCCCAGTGTATTGATCTGGTTTTTTAAAATGGTCTTATACTTGTATAGTGCTTTTCTATGCAGCGAAGCATACTCAAAGCGCTTTCGGACTATTTTCCACTCACCCTTTCGCGCACACATGCATTCACTCACTCAAATGCTGATGACGCAGCCATCAGGAGCAACTTGGGGTTCAGTGTCTTGCCCAAGGACACTTCAACATATGAAGTGAAGAAGCCAAGATTCGAACCACCGACGCTCCAGTTAGGAGACGACCCGCTCGACCTCCTGAGCCACAGTTGCCCCGTTCTTTGATTGATAGTGAGAATTCCAGGGATTTGTTTAAATCCAAGTGGATTTAATGAGGCTTTAATTTAAATTTTAACTTAATTTCCAGACATTCTAGAGTCAGGGCAAAGTAATTCTGTTCAAAACAATAACAGTCCTTTCCTCTGTCCTCCCAGACTCCCAGATGTCAGGTGACTTGTGCGCCCAGGATGGGGCTTTGGTCACCACGACAACAACAGGAACAGGAACCGGTGTGGCGGCTTTACATTTGGTCCAGGCCCGACCGCTGTGGCCTGCCGGCCCTGCCTTGACAGCTCGTTTACGTCGCCTGATCACCGCCTACCAGCGCTTCACACTACGCCGCGAGCCTCTCCTCAGACACGACTTCCTGCTTCCTGACGGCCTCGTTGGCATGGGCATCGGAGGAGCCGGAGCTGCTCACAGTCATCACGCCA